AAGGAAAACTACAACAAGACGCTATGAAAAACCTCAAACCGTTACAATCCATCCACTTTGTAATATCGATATTCAGATTGCTTTGGTTGTTAATTTCTATATAAAATAAAAGTAAAATGGAATTTTATAAAACTGTGCCTATCGGAACCCATAATAACAATTGAATCAGAACAGAAAGAAAATAGTTTTACGCATTTTTAAAGACCGCTTCAGTTGTAAATAGATATAAACGGAGTTAAATTATTATTCTTTCCTTTTTAAAGCCTATAAATAATTCATTGCTCAAGGCTCTCCAGTTTTACAATGGTTCTAAAACTTTTCGTTGGAGTTTAACTTGAAAGATGGAAAATGACAAATTTAAGTGGCCATTGAAAAAAGTGTGTTAGCAGAGAGTTTAAGGTTAACAACCCAGGCGCATTATTTTTAAATTGACGTAGATACAAAAGTTATTATTACTCGGTCATTCACCCTGCCGCAACAAAAAGGTGCATTGTAATAAGTACTACAACAATGTATATATCGGACAAACAGGCAGACAAATAGGACAACGATATTCTGAACATAAAATCGAAAAATAAGTTCAAACAACTCGGAGCATCGTACCGAAACCAATAACGACCCTAGACCAATATAAAAGACTCTTATAGTAGAACATATTACACCAAAAAAACAGAATTTAAATTTATTATATTAAAGAACATAGAGATATGTAATAAAAAAAAAAGAAAGGTATTACAAATATACAGATCTTTGACAAGTATTTAGAACATCAACGCAAGCGAAACCGCGGCTAAAACTTATCATGAAATTTTGCCCACACATTGTCAGGAGTACGGGGAAGCACGGAGGGAGCCATTTATCCAGAAAAAAATACTGTTCCTTAACCTTAACCTTTTAATTAAAAGTTTCTACAAAGTATGAGATGTTCTGAAGACTATTGTTTTAGTTAACGATTGCTTTGTCGGTCAGATTACAAATGATACTTGTTAAGCCTTTTCTCAATAAAGAAAAATATAGTAAACTTCTAGCCGATAAATTTTCATCGAGGAAAATACGATATTTTAACAAGATGTTTCCTGTTCAAAATACCAGTATAAATGAGATACCAATTTGTTTTGGTCCAAAATTGCGTGAACATTATCCAGATAAGATAATTATTTATATATTTATTATCATAAGTAAAAGTTAGATAACAACAGAAAGTTTATTTATACCTATACTATAGTATTTGAATTTAATTCTACTTCTTCAGTTCATTTCTTTTACATATTGGCATGTTTTGATAAATTAACATGCAATAAGTTACAAATTAAATATTCTATGTGAGTGTAAGGGTTTTATTAACAGTTTCGGATCATGCAAGTGAACTTAACATAAAAATAAAATTAAGAATTTCATGTCTTACACGTCCAAAGCTCCGTTTCTTTTTTCCTTATTGTAATGTAGTTTTGACGGTCAATTAATTAGTTTTAATTTGATTTACTAAAGTATGAAGTTTACATTCAAATTAACGCCGTTCTATTTGTTAAAGTGCGTATTAATAGCTGTTAGCCTATTTTCTTCTAGACGTATGATTATTTTTAGGATGTGACCAAACCGAGAAAAAAATTATTTTTAACTTCATGTAAATAAATAAATAAATAGTGGTAGATGATTATGTATAGCGTGATTAACAATAATGAACAGTCTATAGAACAAGTATGTACTACATTTTGTATTCAAAATTTGTTTTATGATGGCATATGTAGTGGTACGTACATATATGATAGCTCTGTGAAGTTGGCACCCTCAAATGCGAATTTTTTTTATGTTATAACTTTTGAACGAGTAGTGGGCTAACGAAAAACCACTTGGGATACCCTGGGGTAACTTTGGATAATTAAATGACATTGCATTTTACAAATTTTTATTTTGGTTCTTAAATTGAAAATTTTTTTTGTAATAAATCGTGACTTAAGGGTAGGCTAGCGAAAAGAAATGTTAGTCTATCTTGTGCTCAACATGGGCAACCGAACCACGTCAATTTCATTGAAAAAATCACATTTGAGGGTGCTAACTTTACAAAGCTGTATAAAATAAAATAAAAAATTTAGGAAAACTACCAAGATATCTTTCCACAAATTGTGAGTGCTATCCTCCCTGACCTTTTCCCCAAACTCTACTTTTATTTCTATAGGACAGACACTTTGAATTTAAATTTCCTCTCACTTAAACAAAATTTTATTTTCGCAGTTTTACCTTTTCTCGAAGTCGTGTATTTCGTCAAAGGACAGCCTGCTAAAGAGTTCCATTAGTAACTGCTTCATTTTAGCTCCTTATCAAGCGACTCCTTTATCCGACCTTTTTCACAGTTCAACTCCAATTATGTACTATATAAAAAGTCACAAAACAAACTTCTCCGAATATCCAATTATAATAACTCAAAATCAGTGACGATTAGTCTGCAGTAAAATTCGATAGCACAAAAACAATTGTAGGCAATTTCCACAATTTCCACTGAGACACGTGTCTAAACGAACTAAAACGCTCTTGAGTTAGGCACATTATTTATAGCGTACAATGAAGAAGAGTGTGGCACGAGTGAGTCCCCACTTTTCTCGGATGCACTTGTTCAACAGGAATCGTGTGAGTTACAGGAACCCGGACTGATGTACAAACCCCGCTGGCGAGCGTCCATCGGTTCGTTGAAAAGTAAAAATGAAAGCAAAAGCGTCGCGAAACCGGCTACTAAATTGTAATTATATTCCTTGCTTCAACTGACAACATACTGTTTTAGCGTCTTGGGAAATGTAATCGTAAATGGGGAGGAAATACAGAAGAAAATTCAGGAAATTCACTTGTAACTATTTAACGTTTGGATGATACTTGCTCTGGCGTGTGATCTATCTATAAGTCCCTCGACTAATACAAAGGGAAGCTCACGATTCCCAGATTAAAATTTTCATGAATGCCCGACCGTCTTGAGACAGGACTCAACAGTGGTAACAGTGGTTACACCTCGCATGCTGGAGAGGCGAAGCCATCACCATAGGTGAACAGCGTGTATCATGCCTGCTAAGCCTGACAGGGATTAGATAGGTATTGCCCGTACCACAGGGCCATAGGGGTTCTCATAGCGGTCACTTAGGTCATCCCGCGCTGATTATTCAAATCTCATTGTCGCTCTCGTAGGGCCCGTGCTGAGTAACCACAAATAAAATAGCTATCTTACCTTAATTAAACTAGAGAAAACGGTGTACATATAAAAAGGCGCCCGTTAGATTACGACTACATGCAAACACATTCTTGAACCATAAGAGGGGCCGATTATGTAAAAAACCTCGTAGAATTTATTGGTGCCTTCGGATTTGGGGTGCGACTTCGGATAACTTCGCCACCGAATTATTTATGGTTAAAATAGAGAAAACGGTGTACATATAAAAAGGCGCTCGTTAGATTACGACTACATGCAAACATGTTCTTGAACCATAAGAGGGGCCGATTATGTAAAAAACCTCGTAGAATTTATTGATGCCTTCAGATTTGGGGTGCGACTTCGGATAACTTCGCCACCGAATTATTTATGGTTAAAATAGAGAAAACGGTGTACATATAAAAATGCGCTCGTTAAATTACGGCTACATGCAAACACCTATTGAGTTATCAAAGGGATAATTACAATTGGTAAAGCTCGTAGAATTTATTGGTGCCTTCAGATTTCGAGTGCGACTTCGGATAACTCCGCCACCGAATTATTTATGATCAAAAAGAGAAAACGGTGTACATATAAAAAAGCGCTCGTTAAATTACGGCTACATGCAAACACCTTCTTGAACCATAAGAGGGGCCGATTATGTAAAAAAGCTCGTAGAATTTATTGGTGCCTTCAGATTTCGAGTGCGACTTCGGATAACTCCGCCACCGAATTATTTATGATCAAAATAGAGAAAACGGTGTACATATAAAAAAGCGCTCGTTAAATTACGGCTACATGCAAACACCTTCTTGAACCATAAGAGGGGACGATTCTGTAAAAAAGCTCGTAGAATTTATTGGTGCCTTCAGATTTCGAGTGCGACTTCGGATAACTCCGCCACTGAATTATTTATGATCAAAAAAGAGAAAACGGTGTACATATAAAAAAGCGCTCGTTAAATTACGGCTACATGCAAACACCTTCTTGAACCATAAGAGGGGACGATTATGTAAAAAAGCTCGTAGAATTTATTGGTGCCTTCAGATTTCGAGTGCGACTTCGAATAACTCCGCCACTGAATTATTTATGATCAAAAAAGAGAAAACGGTGTACATATAAAAAAGCGCTCGTTAAATTAGGGTTACATGCAAATACCTTCCTGAACCATAAGAGGGGACGATTATGTAATAAAGCTCGAAGAATTGATTGGTGCCTTCAGATTTTTAGTGCGATTATAAAGTCCGCTACTGAATTATTTACGGTTAAAATAGAAAAAACGATATACACATAAAAAAGCGCTTGTTAAATTACGGTTACATGCAAACCCCTTCCTACATCAAAATAGGGGACGATTATGTAAAAAAAAGCTTGTAGAGTTCATTGGTGCCTTCAGATTTCGAGTGCGGTTCCGAATAAGTCCGTTACGGAATTATTTATGGTTAAAATAGAGAAAACGGTGTTCACGTAAATAAGCGCTCATTAATTTGTCAACCGAATTATAAAATGGGACGATTATGTGGAAGTGTATCTTTACTTGTACGGTACCTTCGAATTTCGAGTGCGTTCGCACATAAATAAATTATTTATATTTAAAGTGGGGAAAGCAGGGAAAATTAACAAGGGCGGAACTCGGGCAAGAAATTAATGGGAGCAACATTGTGAATACGTAACTAAGAGAGCGTAACTCAGGTAATGAGGCCCACGGATGACTGATTAAGACTATTTCATCCACCACACTTACATTATATAGTAATATTTGGAAAACTTCAAGGAAGAAGCAATCAAAGACATAAGTAAACTATTAATTACGCTTATTGATTCTTACCTCATTTCAAAGTCATGTATTTCCTCCATGGTTAAGTTGTTACTAACATCCAAAAGTTGTTTGACATTTTCTTCTTTAACTTTGCTGGTAGTTTCCACGTTCGAAACGAAATCGCTTCCATTTTTAAGAAGGATGGTAGACACTCCCGAATGGTCGAGACTAACGGAAGGCTGCTGAACTACGATGGTAGCCTGGGGCTGCCTGGTTCCTCGGGAATTCGCTCCCGTAGTGGTACCAAAACGTACAGAATTTTCCAAGGGATTTGTGGTAACATTTATGGTGGACGAAGATTCCAACTGAGCTCCGACATCTCGTATGCACTTGTTCAGGCATACACTTCCGCGTTTCTCGTGGGATATAGGGATCAAAAGGGAATCTCGAAGGTTGGAGCCTGTAGTTTCGGCTGATTCGTTAAAAAAATCTATTCGAAGATCTGGAAGAGGGGGTGTCATTCTGGCTTGTTCCCTGTATTTGCTAATGTGCTTTTCATCGTAAGTGAATCTGAAACCAAAGTTTCACTGCTTGAAATCGGTTTTTAATCCTAACTTCCTGCATGTACAGCTGTACCATCAGGAGGTGGCCCCTGACCTTTTCACTTACGATGCAAATTCGGCTAGAAAATGATAACGCTCACGCTCGGTAGGAATATCAAAATGCACAAGGGGTTGGTCATTGGGAAGACACTATTTACTCTAACTTTATGTTTTTTATTTTGTTTATTTAGTCCTCCACTAAATTGATTGTGAAAATTACAGCTGGGCCAGTTGGTGTGAGTCGAGTTCTTAGCTCGAACAAGAGCTGAACTTAAATGATTTACCTTAAAGATGTTTGGGAGGTACAATCGGAGACAAGAGTACATAAAATTAGAAATTCGTGACTAATTAGGTTTTGCAGCATATCATGTGGTAAATAAATACTATCTAATTATACTAAAAGAAAGTATACGGTTTGAGAGAAAATTTGGAATTTGACCAAAAACTTTGAATAAAATAAGAAATAACGAATAATATGGAAAATTTTTAACTGACTTTTGGCAGTGAATATGCCTTGATTTCAACTTCGAAACAAAAAAATATTTAGTTTCAATCTCTATTAATAATGAGCGTAAAACTTTTTAATATGTTTAAATAATAATTAAAACTTTAAAATTGCATTTATTTCAGACAATTATAAATATTATCATTATATTATCAAGTAAAAACGAGATTTTCAGCTAATTTTTCATTTTTTCCTCGATAACCATTTAGTGAATTTGAATAATCTTACGCTAAAGTGAGTCACCAGAGTTCAAGTTACTTGTTATAAAAGTTTGAAATTTCTGGTGGCTTTTTTTTCTGTTAATAAAAATAAATTTAATCCGTTCGGTTAACGAATCTCCATAAAATGACGTGTAAAATTACAATTTTTTAAAATTTCAATAAGTTTTTAACGGCTTAGTGAATCGGTTTGTAATTTTTACAGGAGTTTTAGAATTGAATGAGGAACGTTCTTCCAAATTTTTATTTATCTCGTAGCATTTTGACATACCTCCCAAACATCCTTAACATAGAATTGCTGTCGTCCAATGTGCATCTATATTAGGTATGTATTACAATCTGAGGGGCCACATCTCCTTGGTCCAGTAGTACATTACACATAACTCCCACGATTTACGTAAGTTAATTATTCTAAATCAACAAAATCTCGGAATAAAAATACAAAGCGGATAAACAATCCCGACTGTGGTTGTTTACAAACGAGGTAATTTGATAATACGCAATGTTCAATGAGTCCGTTATCAGTTAAAAGGTTTATGTGCATAGCGGATCGAGTACATACGTAGGCAGCAGGTAAAAAAACAGGAAAAACAATAACCAAATGTTGTTTACGATAATGCCTAAATGTATGAATTGATTTCAGTTACTTTTAATTAAAGCAGTAACAGTTTGTAGATGTAAACAAATAACAGCGTTTGATTACACTTTTCTATCCAATCGTCGCCGTCGCTAGAAAGACACTGTTTTTGTCAATAATTGGAGAATAAGAATTAAAGCAGTATTTTTCAAAATATGAACTCAATCAAATTGAAGGCGAATCAAAACAGCGGCTAATAGTTTACTAAATCAACTGATGCTCGGCGTACCTTTGAAATATATAATACATTTTTCTTTTTACGCTATCATATACTTTTATGTGTTTCAGACCGCAGGATTTATTAATGTTATTCCTATATGATGGCAATAAACAATCTGTTATTAGAAGCTATCTTTAGTGCATGATGCGGTGGTGCTTCTGTGTTCACGAACGCTTAATATACATATAACCGAGAAAATAATCTTCGCATTTCCCTAAAACTAGAACATCCCGCATCCTTAACTATTTGCGAACAGTAATCTAATCTAGGTCTACCTCTAGTCTTCTTAACTCCTGATTCGTTCTTCTAACATGTCTCTGACTAGTCCTTCATGCCTGAAAAGGTGCCCTGCCAACCTATCTCGCTTATTCCTTATTGACTTCCATAGAATCCTCTGTTCTCCTATTCTTTCTAATGCCTCTTCATTTCTAACCTTCTTTATCTATGGTATCCTCATCATTTCGAACGCTTCTAACCTTTTCTTTTCCGTCGCGCCCACCGTCCATGTTTTGCACCCGTACAGCGTCGAGCTCCAAACATACACCTTTAACAATCTTTTTAGAATTTTTAAATTAACCGTTCGCGAGCATGGAAATGACTTTTTTTATTGAAGGCGACTCGACCCTCCACTATCCTGTGCTTTATATCCCTACTACTCCTTCCGTCCTGACTTATCTGACTTCCTAGATACCTAAAATCGGCCACTTCTTCTAATCTTTCGTCTCCTATCTTTACATTCGCTCTTTTCCTACTTTTTCTCCCCTTATATGATATGATACGTCATTATTAATAGGAGTTATTGATAATAACCACAAAAGTAGAAGAATGTAACCACGTAAACTTTCCCTGTCCACAACAAACTAAAATCGGCCTGATAGGCAGTGATAACTCAATGTAAAACATTAATCCTTACCTGTCAACTTTGTTCTTTGCGGAGGAAGAATGATGTCGCTTTTTGTGCCGGTGTTTCGTTCGAGGTGTACCCGTCTGATTTCCTCCTCGGTCCAAAGAAACGGTGGACTTTACTTCGAGCCTGTAATCGTGCCCCGTTTTGTCTACAGACATTGATCTACGCGGTTTTACGCGAATTGTACTTTGAGTCCGACTGCTCGAAGAACTTCGACCGCCGTCCGACTCTGCTTTTGTCGTCGTTGAGCTTTTACTCTCCTCGGAACTGGACCCCCGGAGCATGTCCTTCGAATTGCTGATAGTTCGAGAATTGACGTCCTCCAATGGACGAAACATTTCCGCATCATTTTTAACTGGTTTATATTCGCTAGGTTGTTTTACCTGAAACAACAGAAAAAGGATGTCAGGATGTGAACTTAAGTCAACTTAACGTTATATAAGAACAATAGTCAGTCACTTTCGCTATATACATATACATACTTGAACTCAGTTCGTTTTGAAAAGTGCACGAAAGGGTCAGTCCGGTCCTGGTAGGAATACGTAGGGTAATGCGACAATGCAACGCCACATTCAATCAGCTGCCTATAGCAGCATCCGTGCTGTATTTCTTTTGCATTTTTGTACTCGTCTATTGTTTATTATTATTTAGATTTGATTAAGTGTGATGATTAGCGACGCTTAAGTCAGCCTTGACTAGCCTTTTGTTCGTTTAACGTTGTAGGTTCGTATTACGTATGTATATGGACAGGTGAAATCATTAGCAGTAGGTTAATGTATCAGTGCCATAGGTCAGTGTTAAATAATATATACTATCAGCCATGAACAAAGTAATTATTTCATTAATTATTATTGCAATTAACGTCAAATGGTTATTATGTCTAGTAACGTCCGTGTTTATATTTTCCTTCGTTATGGCTACTTAGTTGTCACCGCAATTTCTCTGTGGGTATGTTGTCAATTCACGTCTAGGGTTGGCTTCGAATTGCAACTTCGTCTGGTATTCTTACAATTTTTTTGTTCCTCGACCACGCTTTTTTGCTTATTATGCGATTCCCTAATGCAGCTAGTTAACTCCTTTCAAATCTAAACTATTTATCATTCCTAAATTTTTGGCGGGTTTATTTGCTTTTTAATAAAAGAAGAATAAACCTCCTTTTTGATGTGTAAAATCATCTATTTTACCAATTTACTCCATCATGGCTATAATAATAACTCTGACGATGAGTAATTCTCCCAGTGAAATATATAAATTGGCTTAAGAAACATCTGCGCTGTAAAACATCATACAACGAAAGGAATTAGTCACATGAAAATAATCGCTACAACGAACGATGTTGCGCGTATCAATTTTCGATGAACCGATTTTGAAGCAAATGAGAATAAAAACAACGTGATGAAAGTTGAAGTTCATTTATTACTGGTCCGATATACAAAATCGGAGCTAAAAGTAGATCTTCAATGTTGTCGGCGCTATAGATACATGTAATTAATCGAATTCAATGGTTTGGTCCCAAATTTTTCTGTAGGTACCTACATTTAAATAAACGAAAGTTAGTGTCTCTTCCAAAAAACCACAAGGAAATCCATTGCACTGGTATTAAGATTATCAACTACCTAATTTCAGTACTTATATGTATTTTACTACTTGCATCTTAACTTAAAACGAATTGGAAAACGAAATAAGGAAATAATAAGATCAAAATTGATAAATAGCTGTGGAACTTCGTTGTTTTGATCGCATTTGACACAATTGTATTCATTTTTCGAAGTTGTTAGTTATGTCTTCATCTAATGAAATCAATAAAACATTTTTTTTGAAGTGAAACTTCTTTACGCACGGTAGGGTAAGTTCGTTTCATGCGAGCTGCTATGTAACGAAATCATGCAACGCATTTCCCCCGCTGTCTGTCCCTATGTATGCTTAAATCTTTAAAACTACGCAACGGATTTTAATGCGGTTTTTTTAATAGGTCAAGTAATTCAAAACGAAGGGGCATTATATAGTAGAGAAACACTGATAATTTTAGAGGTTT